ATTTTGGTGAAATTTGCTGACAATTGAAGATGTGACGAATTGTTAAGAAGACATAATTGAAAATAGTTTTTAGGCAAAATTTGTTGATCGAAACCTCAAACCCATTCTTGAAGACAAAGGAAGGTGATTTAACAAGTTTTCCCTGACATTTTCGTCATTTTCCCTGACATTTCCCGGATTCCCCTGACTTCTTAAAATTCCCTGATATTTCCCGGTTTTCCTCAGCCTGTTCGTACTCTCTCCATTCAAATTCAGGGTATTTTTATTCTCCTTTTGAGGACAATTTGTTCGCAATTTATTCTAGGACACCTGTAAATTTCAAGGAAAAATATACGTAACTTTCCTCAAAAATAAGCATTTTGCCGGGGACAATTTGGCAACGTGTGAATGCTCATACTTACGAGGTTTTTTCTTAGCATTGCAGACTTGCATCGCTGCTGCAAGGGGTAATTCGTTTCCGACGCTGTGTTTTACGTCATGCCACGATAAGTCTAAATATGGTTGAAAGATTACGTCTCGACAAGGTATGCGACAAGTAGAGGATTTAAAAAGTGAAATGCTAATAAAGAAAGGCGTCCTTCGAGACGGCAATTTCACTCTCTTTCCTCAAAACGCACGTTTCCTCAAGTTAAGAGTTCAATTATTCTAACGTGATGACGCGTTTGCAAATCGATGACAAAGATGAGAAACCACGTATCTTCACTGCGATGTTTTAAAATTTCCGCTCTTATCACTCAAGTTTCGAAGGGAAACAAGTTAACGTAATTGGTAGATCGACATTTTTACAGAATATTCTACTAACCGAGAGGAAAAATGAAGGAAGTTTTCAATAAATTACGTTGGCTTTTTTTCCTAAAAAAAAAAAAAAAAAAAAGAATTGAAAAGGGAACACAGTAGTTCGGTAGCAGGGAGGAAAGAATGCATTTAATTTCCTTCTCAGGGGCAAAGCTTCTCGATACTCAAATAAAAATGTCTCCAAAACTTCTCAAAGTTGGCTTCTTACACAGAAATACAATATGAAAGTTGATACAGCATCATATTTGTCGTAAGTAAGGCAGTCGCAGTCAGGCATCACTGTTTTCAATATTTTCCCTGCGAAACTGTAATAGCACTTTACTGGAAATAATTGAAAAAGGTCTTTCAATTTTCCTCATGAAGAATTTGGACTGTCTCCGGCCGAGCAAAGGACGCGCGCTTTAAACCCTTAGATAAAAAAATAAAAATACAAAGAAATCGAAGAAGCAAGTTCTCTGTTGTAACGAGTTGGGAAACAGCTTTATAACGGATGACTAAGAGAACTGTTTCTCCGTTGTCTTGTTTGTCTCCCTGATTAAAAATAATTGATCACGTGCTTTCCTGCCATCATACCGTCTTGTTCTCTTGCGTTCCAACTCTCCGTTTTTCGTGCACTGAAAAAAAAAGTTCGGTAAATTATGGAACCACGATGTTGTTCGGTACACACAACCGAATTATTCGGTCTGCTCAGCCGAACTGTTCGGTCCACTGAACCGAACTGTAAGAATTTATTATAGTTCAGTCGCACAAACCGAACAATTCAGTCGAACAGACCGAATAATTCGGTTGTGTGTACCGAACAACATCGTGGTTTCATAATTTACCGAACTTTATTTATCAGTGTGGGACACAGCATCTTCGTTCTTTGACGAGAAATAAAGAGCAGAGATTTCAGATCGACATTCAATTTTTCTTACTGACACTCGAAGTTAAGTTTCTATTCATTTTCATCTACAAGCATTAAAATTGCATGGGAGTTAGATCATTGAGTGGATGTAAGGATATAAGTTAGATGGGAAGTGGAAGTTATAAATTAAATTGAAATTGACGTATGATCGGCTCAAAAATTTTAGGAAAACGGTTCACGTGCACATAGTTTAAAGAGAAAGAAAAGAGAGAGGATTATGGGAATAATAATTAGGGATTTAATTAAAATACTATCCATTCAGGCTAGTCAAGGGGCTGCGCCCCCGGACCCCAGTCACTCGCTGTCCTTAGGCATGGGAAGATTTCGGCAGACTCAGAATTGGATGAATTTGAACATTAATCACCGTGGCTACACCAAACGTTGCCTGTTTTCCTCTCGTTTGAATGAATTTAAAAATAGTTTAAGCTACATCTTTGCTTGATATTTAGTTAGTATGCTCAGGATAATCTGGGAGAAATTTGCACAACGTTTCAAGGCGTCATGTTGATTGATGCTCGGGTGAAAAAAATAAATTAATAAACAAACATTAAATATTCAGCACCGTAAAATGTGTGATGTGGTTAGAGTGATCCTAGTTGAATTATCCAATTTTGCTTCAAAAATGCAGAATGAATTGCAAACTGCAAACGCGTCGAATTAAGGACTTTCGTCAGAATCCGCCAACTCGAGACATCATCATTGTTGCCAAACTGTGCTGAAAATTCAACATGTTTCCCTATTTAACCCGATGTAAAATATGGATCGCATTAAGCAAAAAGGAACCAGCGAGATTACAGTGTCGTCAAAATGTTGCTACTTCATGATTATCTAAAAAATCTTTCAGAAAAGCGAATAGTTTTTGCTTTCCACCGAAAAATTGTTAATTTCAATGGAAAATAATTGAGTAAATACTAATACTGTACACTTTTGAGTATTTTTAAAAGGACAGGTAGAAGAAGTTGCACGATTTTGAAAACATTGTAATCGCGATGGCTCCTTTTTGCTAAATGCGATCCATATACTTAACTGTTTCTTCGCACAATCTGGCAACCTTGGGCGTCGTGTCGTGGCAAAAATTTCGGCTCGAGCTGACGACGGATGACCCGTCAAGAACCGAGAAAGTATCATTACTTACGACGATTGAGGCAAGGAAAGAAAAAGAAGAGAGAAGAAAGGAAAAAAATCACAGGAGACTTGCTGCGGTGAAAGAAGAGAAAGGATTGACCTTCAGGTTGGCATGGGCGCTCCATGCTCGTTGAATCACGAAAGCCCGGCGTATTAATGATGCGTGTGAAACCAGGAGGCCCCGAATCTCTTTTTGGCTAATCCGATCGAACGCTCGCGAGCCAGAAGAAAGGTGAGAATTTCGAGAGTTATTTTTTGATTGCTGTGAGGTCGGAACCCAGAGTAAGCGGGAGAACATGTGATTGTCCAGTATTTGATTGAAACAGCGCGATCTAAATATTGAGCAGGTCAATTTGGTTGGATTTATTTATGACATCATACCCGAAATTTATCAGCCCAGCCTTAAAAATTTCGCGATTTGCGGAGGAGAAAGTTGGATGCGCATGGAACGTATTCGATAGTGGTTCGAGGTATCGTTTGGTTCAAAAAAATAAAATATACTTAATTTCTCACGGAAAATTTAGGATTTAAGTAGGAAAAGCTGATAGTGAGAAAATTCCTAACAATTTCACTTTTCATTGCCACTTTACACTCATAAGAATCAAAAATCTAGGTATCACATGGTACCAGTTCCCTCAGATTACTCAATTGACTTTTGAGGCTAGTTTTTACATGTTGAAGCAAACAATATTGATACAATCTCGCCTGTTTGATGTATTGAATACGATCCATTGTGGCTTGTACTGATTACACACAAAGGTCTTATAGTGTGCTTCCCCCACTGCGATGATGTTGGGAATATCTGCCCATATGTTTCTTATTTTTAAAATAACCAACCAACAGTTTACCATGAAATTATCTGTCATTTTTTTTCACTCACTCAAAAATATTAACAGAAAATTTCTATAAAAGAGGAGCACGGCATAAATATGTGAACGTCGATTTTCCTTTGATAAAATACTTAGTTCTCTTTGAGAAAAGTTGTGAATCGTTTGGAGAAAGTTCGGTACTCGGGCTGCATGAAAAGTCCATGAAAGGTACCCCCAAGGAGTTCGGTACTTGGACTGCATTATTGTTACAAACTGTACACACACCATAGAGAAAAAAAACATGCATACGAACTCCTACGGGGTACCTTTCATAGACTTTCCATTCAGTCCGAGTACCGAACTACTAGGGAGTACCTTTCATGGACTTACGATGCAGCTTGAGTACCGAACTAGACCAATCGGTTTCATTGAAATTTTCAGATGATCGATGAAATTGCGGATGCAATTCTCCCCTTCCCCCGACAAAAAAATTTGAGAAAATTAAGTATTCTCAAGATTCTCCGGGAATTCACCTTTTATCAAAGAAAATAAGTAACGTCCGGTGACTCGTGCGGCGCTCCCTGCACCTTGTGAAATTACCATGAATTTGTTGATGCGACAATTTGTGCTCTACGACTGCCCGTGTTGCGTGGCAAAATATCGAAGGCGCATTGGTTTCAATCGCACTTGCCAGAATTTGCAACATTACGCGTTCGCGTCACCCTGCACCGATGGATGGTCAATCGGCCAATCTAGCACTTTCTGCGTCCCTGATACATTACTTGTGTGCCAATAGGTCATGTAACAGTGGCTAAAGTGCAAGATCTTGTATCTCTGTTTGCGACGTTGTAGACATCCATAATCCGGTTATAATTAGGTACTTTATTTTTTCCTGGGAAAACTAATCAACAGAATGTCTTCCTAAACCTTCCTTGATTTTTTCTTCTCGGTTTTTATCTGTACAATATTCTGTATAAGTTTCAAGCTATATAGTTGACTTGCTCCTCTTCACAAAAATAAACTAGGAGCGGAAATTTGAAAACACTGGGATGTAGATACTTACATGGTGTCACGCTTTAACAATCGATATTAGCCTAAATAGGTTCTCAGAGATAATTCAAGCTGTATGATCAAAATACAACACCGATTTGAAATTATAGATTTGACATTGGAAATGTGAGGTTTCTAAAAAATACCGCCCCATGACAACCGGCAAAGCATAAAGACAAAGTTACGCTATGCCGTGCCATTCACACTGGAGTTCCTTGTTGTAGTAGAAGATAACCTGATACGAATAGACGAAAGAAAATACAGAAAACCCGAATCATGTGTTACTGAAAGAGCGTACTTACATGACAGCAATGCTTCAATCTAACGACCAAGAGAAGAGGATGTCCTGTCAAAATGTTGTACACAATCAAGTACACATAGGTAAACTTTCACTTAGAGGGTAATCTACTTGCAGGTAATTGGCAGATGACCTAATAAAAACACAGTGCCGATTTACACAACAATTTTAAAGAATGGAGAATTAGAGCACAATCGACAAGTATTTTGAAAACGATAGACGATCAATATTTCGTCAACAATCTAAATCACAGACTGCAGAGAAAGCACGATTATCAGACAGATCTGAGAGAATTGATGGGGGAGCATAAACACAATATTTCGGAGATTGAGCACAAAGGTAAACGAAACGTAACATACATACGCGTAGAACTACACGATTATTGTCATGAACTGAGAACTTTAGAAGGAAAACCACTCGAAAGTTTTTCAGACGGATCCAACGACCACGGTAACTAAAGATGTTCTCGATAACAGTTAGTAAACAATAGTACTCAGCACAATGAATAAAGTAGAGAGAAGTTACGCCACACGCGAACCGTGGAGAGAAAACCTGCCATGGAACTGAAAACGGGACACCAGAGAAAGAGAATGGCGGAGTCATAATCAAAATAAAGCGACAAGGCTGCTGTCTAGCGTCGAAAACGGGAAGTATAACATGGACTGGCGCGCTTTGCCGTGCTTTGCTCCACGGCCAGCGAGCTTTGCAGCATTGANGGGGGGGGGGGGGGGGAAGTTGCGTTCGGGGCGGAAAGCAACTTTGGAACCAAACTGAAATCCATTTAAAATTTTTTCTCTGAAATTTTCTGGAGAAAGGCGAGAAGGGTGTTAATCTCGCAAATTAACACTAGCTTATCAATTTCCCCAGTTGATTTGCGTGATTTAGGTCAATATTTTTGAGAGAATCTAGGAAGTCTGAAATACTTGACGCCCTACATCGATGCCGGTTCTGAGGTAAGCAATTTCGAAATGTATGTTCTTTTTTTTAAGAAAAAATTGTGAAATGTGTGACTGCAAGTTTTTATAACGGAGGAACCGAGCTCATAAGCCTAGCCCTCTAAGAATGTGAGTCATTGTTTACTTTCAACGTTCCAACGTGGCTACATTTTGCGATTAAGAACTACAATTTCCGGCTCATACGTAAAAAAACATAAGTCCATAGGGAAACTAATAGTACATATGATGTTTTTAAACTGAGCAAGAAATTGCAGTACCTAATTGAAAAATTTAGCCCGCAATCAGTTGCGCTGTTAGTTTGATATCTCTGAAACTAAAGTACACAATTTTGGAAATCAATTAATCCTAACCTTCCCACTCTTTAACGACGTTTGAAGTAAAAATACGTTACTTCCGATTACTTACCGAAAAATTAGACTAAGGCTGGAATAAGGAGAGAAAGCGTTTCGTTCAGGTTCGGACTGGCTCGCATCGGAGGGCGTAGAGCGTAGACCCTTGACTGGTTAAAGAGGCGTAATGTGATATTTCCTGGTAGGGCATTCCCTACGTGGAGAGGGGCTCAGAAAATTTTGGCAAATCAGCACTAATTTACGCTATTTTCAGGTTCAAAGTTTATTGATCGCACGGAGTAAAAGTTGCAAAATTGAACGTGAAGGTGAAGCGCAGCATTGTGAGCTCACGCTTCGCGTTATAGCGCCTTCAATTTTTCAGATGCAGCATGGACGTCCATCAAGTACGAATAGTTGTATCTCTGCGCCGTCGTAAACACGCATCCTTTCCTTCCCTCTTTTTCCATATTGTGTTTGTTTCCGTTTGTCTTATTCGTAATGGTGATTCAAGCACTACGTGAGTAATACAGCCGAAGGTAGGAGAGATGTCTTCAGGCCTTTTTTAAACTTTTCTCCCGAATCAGAGCGACGCTCCATTGACAGCATATAGCAGGGCATTGAGAGCTAACGATTCGCGTCATTGCGCCTTCAATTTTTCAGATGTAGCACGGACGTCCATCAAGTACGAATAGTTGTATCTCTGCGCCGTTGTTAACGCGCATCCTTTCGAGCGATGAGAGCGTAGGGCGCCAAAACGCCTTCGCTTACGTGCGTATGCAACACGGACAGCCATGGAGCTCGAATAGTTGCATCCAGGCGTTTTATGAAATTCGTTTAGCGTTCGTCGCATGCGATACTAATTGACGGTGTTTTGCTTGTTCCTCCTATATCAACACTATTTTCCAGCGTCATCTATTGTGCCGATGAAGTTAAGTTTTCCTGATTTTCATCTCGGCATTGTCAATCTTCCAAAAAATGCTTTGATCGCTGAATGCATTTACCCTCCTGGAATTTTGGCTATACGGCCCCTAAACTGACTGACCTATACGAACGACAAATTCGGCATTGTCGTTTCATGGAAGTTTCAAGAAAGTTGTTTCGAGCGCGCATCCTAACATATTTGTTTTTGCCGAAGCGTTAGAAAGCGTTTAATGCAATAATACCGAGAAAAAAAGAAAAAAAAAACCTGTTAATAATTTTATTCACAAATCAAGCAGTGAAGAATGATGCGCTTTACTAGATATGTTGCAAGGCTAGAAACGCGATGTCTCTCGGGACAAGTGTCTTAGATCATAACCATAATAATTGGACCTCAGTTGTTGACGACGGAAACAGGCAGCAGGATACAGTTGTTATTTCATTCTCTCTGAAGATTGGAGGTTATTACTTCTGCTTAAAGTGCTCTTAATTTGTGCCTCAGTTACGGAGAGAGCAATGCAACTGCACTCCATTAGATTATTACTTTTATCTGCCTTTGTATCTGTGATCCGAACTACCAGGTTATTACCAAATGAAAATTTGAGTGGATGTAATGAGAATGCACTAAATGCTGTCAATTTCAAGAACTGTCGGAAGAGAGCAAAAGAGCTGGTCATAGTTCAACGACGGTCAGCGTTTTTTTCAAAAGTTATGAACAGTTTGAAATGAATGTAGCACTATTTGGATGAAAGCTCATTGATTTTGTGCATTTTGTACATTGCGCAGCTTTTAGTTTCAGAACGGTCGATGCATACTTTACGCAAAAATTGAAGGCAACCCGACATATTTCAATGCTCAAGATGACTAAATTCATATTTAAAGAATGATCAGTCTATATTTCTGCACCTATTATATTAAAAAACTTACAATGCTAATGAATGTAAAGACTCCAAGTAGAGGTAAATTTTCTAATCTTAAAAGTGATTGGCTAAGGATTAAAAGTTATTTCATAAAATTTCATGAAAAAATGGAAGGCATGTTATTCAGGCGTAACATTAAAGTTGTGTGTTATTTAGAAAATGACAGAGAGTTAATTGATGCAGCATCATATATATTTTACGGAATATATTTTTTTAAGATTCATTCTAACCATGAAAATATCTAATAGAAGTTATCACTATCTCGGTGTAAGAGGTAGATGTTTTAATACTCAAGGAGCGGCGAATTTCTGATGATATTCTTACGCATCGTAAATGAGTGCAAAATTTCAGAGTAGGTGGTATTTTAAAGTTTTGTTATCATTAGGGAGTTTTAATATAAAACAGCATACTGGTTCTCAAAGTTATACCGTCGGAGTTAAAGACCTTAACGTACAGAAAAACCACAGGATACTTTATTTCACCACTTCTCCCTTCAAAAACGAGGAGAAATACCTACTCAAATATTTTATGAGAATCGTGTCGTTGTGATTTAAAATTAATTCATACTAATAATTAAAAACACAGTTTTATCAAAGAACAAATATCTTTCTTCGTGAAATGGGGTTAAAAGACTTCGCCTAGTATGTATAAAATAACCATTTAGTTCATATTAAACAAATAAAGTTTTTCTGAAATGTGTATGCGCTTAGACTTCATTTTTATGGGAAAAAGGAAAAGAAATGTATGGAACATAGTCTCACATGGTTTTATGATCAAAATGGATTTGTTTTGTGTTCAGTTTTATTCTCTATTTTTCTTTTTATCGGATCTCATTTTTCAGTTTTAGAGATGCACGTTACCTCTTCCTCTCAATCGCCTCTCTTCCCCAATTTTTTCGCGACGTTTTCTTGCAGACTATTAAAATTACAAGTCATCGTCTTCCACCAATCAGGCATTTTCTTTTTCAGTTCAAGTCTTGCTTCTGTAATTTTCCCCGAAAAACTTGCTTCGCTCCACCTTCTACCAGCCAGCTCGCACTTGTCTCGAATTTTGTCCTTACAGTCCTGCAGATTCAGGTTCAGGTTCAGCATCTTTTTTCCCGATCTGCGATCGTCATCCACGATTTCTGCAAGGTCTATTACCTTCCTCTCTTTCTCGCAAGCCTTTTGTTCGCTGGAGTCCTTTCCGATGTTACAGGCACCTTTTTCGTTCTTGCAGACGTCGATGGGATTAGCATCGGTGACGCTCTGATCCTGGTGAGATGAGGGTTTCGATACGGACGGGAGCAATTTTGCAGCTTCTCCGATTGTCTCGTCCACCCTTTGGGTCGTGACTTCTGCTTTATCGAGGGAGTCCGACTTTTGAACTTTTCCATCGTTAGCTGCGTTTGAGTTTGGCATCAGGATTTGGAACTGACGTTGAACCCTGGGCAACTTCATTCGAAAGGTATCTCTAATTAGCAGCCCAGCTGCCATGGAATATTCAGAGTTCTTTTCGTCAAAGGTTTTTACGTGCCTGAAACAACAGAATAAACACATATTGGTACGCAATTTTCATTTAAAAAAAAACTTCAATAGCTGACTTCTCCAAGATTTAATTCACACGTATTATCTATTGTTATATTGAGAAAATCCATGGCATTATATTAAACTTTTCGTCTGGTGCATGGACGTTTCGACGACAATTTCTCAATGTATCAACGTTTTACAAGCTGAAAACTATTTTTCGCTTGAATTTCAGGAAAAGTAGATACCAGGACACTTGTGCAACATTCATTGTTGACGGTTTTAAGATGACTGTCAAAATGACTGTTATTCAATGGCACATTCATGGAGTTTCCTCTCGAGATTGATTATACCCATTGCCATTGATGAACAGTATACCATAATTTGCCATGGTGCATTGGTTTATATCATACCTCCTTCTAACTGCTTTTTCCTTGCTCTCTGGCATGTGTCTTGATTTTTTGATTAGTCTCACTGACGAAGTCTCTGAGCGGAAAACACAAACTTTTTGGCCGATAAGCTTAGGATGGAATTTTAACATGATTTTGATTGAATTTTGTGAAGATTTGATAAACGTTTGATGATAAATTTTAAACAATATAGCTGAGTAAAATTATAAATGAAATACACAATAGCACATACATTTTATGCGTCAGCAACCTACGAGAAGTATTCCTCGCAGTATTCTCACAACTTTTAGACGCTGAAGAGATTACAGAACAAAATGTCACTGAACTATTTTGTCTAATTTCTTCTGTGTCTGGGGCTTTAAATTGAAACAATTCTTGTAAATAGACAGAGTACGTAAGCTACAAGCTACCCATATTATATTTGCCGACGAGAGCCTTGGCACGTTAACTAAGTGACGGTCAAAACGCCTTCAAATGTTTTGCTAGGCAACAAACTCTACGCATAATGAATTCGACCACACCGTAGCAATGCAGCATTCCACCTCTGCGAAAACAGCCTTTGAAAGCTCCTCTTTCCAAAACGTTAGTTTGAAAAAATTAAGTGAGCTCAATAATGTTTCTCTAGTCTGTTGGTTTGTCACATTTCATTTACTGTTTTATTAAATTATACTGCAGTTTACTGAAATATCCTAATTTACATAGGTTAAGAGGTTGACACGTGAAAAAAGTTGATCCTTAGCTCGGTTAATAATTTTAACAGTCGAACTGCGCAAACAAATAAAATGTACATATCCAGTTTACCTGATGAGAATTAAATCGGAGTCCATTCTGGATGAGAGAAGAGCAGCTACAGTAATGAAATAAATTGTCGTATTAAAATTAATTAAAAAGCAGCTTTCCTTTCAAGATTAAATGTTACCATGATGCGAGGTTGGCAAATTATCAATGTGTCTTTCGTCAACTTGGCAAATTATCAATGTGTCTTTCGTCAACTTTAAAATTCATCATTAAAATCTTATTGTCATCTAAGCGGATTGATAAATTAATGAACAAAAAATAAGAATGAATAGATTTCCTAACCACATTTTTTCGCGCTCTTGCTGTTTTATTGAAAAACCTCGTCTCCACCAAGCAACAAACATTATAATTATTTTCATCAATTCATCATAGTAAATGAAGATTAGACTATACTTAAAGGTTAGAGGAAGACATGGGGTTAAAAAGTATAATTATTCCGAAAAAATTGTGAAAACAGTTTTTGAGAAAATCATATAGGATGTAACGAAATCAGTGTGAGGATTATAGTTAAATAACAAAACTCACGTGTGTAAAAATGGATGTTCTTGCAGTATTTCAGCCTGGTATTTTTTCAATTTTTTAAATTTCTCCCAACCTTACACTGTTATTAAAAAAAAGAAATCCTCGCGATAGAGTTTAAACAACATATAGAGAGTTTAAACAGCTGTTTTTTAAATCGTTGTATGATGGAATGTTCTTCAGAACGAAATTTACGGCCCAGTGAATAAAAATGGATTAGAATGATTACTAAGGTCTGATACTTGTTAAAATTTTGAATTTTGAAATGTAATGAACTGAGTAAGTCAGAACTCGTCAGGGCTTGTCAATCTTTTTTATTGATTTCTTTGTTTTCTTATTTTAATTTGTTATTTTTTTTTTTAATAAAAAGATCATACATTCTTCGCTAGTTGCTGCGAATTTCTCTCTCATCACTGAAAAATATTAAAAAGGAAATGAAAAATACTCAACGTTGTTACCATGACACAGCTCACTATTGTGGCGCCGTCTAATCAATTAGCCATTCAAACACTTGATTCCCGCTTTGAAAGATTTCCAAAAATAGAATTTCTATATTAAATTCCACAGAGAGAAATAGAAAAAAAATACTGGAGACAGAGTTTTAAGGAAGTAATGATACATAAAGAAATGGTCAATTTTTTAAAGCATGCAGAAAGTAACGAATCCTATTTCCATGTCTTTCTCATGAAGACAGATTCGCCTTCATTGAGAGCAGTAGGCAAGGACTTTTACACCTTTTACCTCCAAAATCATAATGTACATAATCGTGAGAGTGACTCATTTTTTAAGGAATAAAAAATTGTTTCGAAAAGCGTTTTGGCGTAAAAAAATTAGGAAACTTTATTATCACAATTAAACACAACAAATACATCAACAAGAATACATTATGTACAAGTTAAACATTGAGAGAATGAAGAAGAAATAATGTAATAAAAAACGAAAGACAATTTGTAAAGGTACATCAGGCAAAAACACAAGCTAGTAAATCTAAAATGTAAAACCATGGCTTTGAAGTTCGGGAATTATATGTATAATCCCGTAGCCTCTCCCATGCCAATAAAAACAGTTTTCTTTCGTTAACTACGGGAATTCAGAATAATTATATTCGGGAAAGAACAGTATGCGTCCTACTCAGAGGTAACGCATGTATATTTGTGGTTTTTGGCGTTTAGAAGAGGCACGCTTAATAGTCTAAAACGACCACTGCAATTTTAAGTGAGTACTTGTAGGGGCCTCATTTCGTTCATTTGTACCACTTTATTCAAAGCTAAACACTTTGTAAAACTTTTCACCAGGATCAAAGCAAACGGGATATGTTGACTAATCTATTTTTTGGCCAAGCCACACAAATATTTAATTTTTAATTATTCATTTCGTACATGGTCATCAAAAGTGTAATGGATGATGAGCACTACAACATTATCTAGCACGGAAATGTTTGCATTTTAAGATTTAGTACCTACTTCAGGCAGCGATCTGCATTTCAATTTTTAATCCGGTAAGTTGGAAAAAATGATTTTTCAATGCGAATTTCTGTCTGTACCCTTCCGGCCGTTCATTTAACCCATAAAATATTTTATTTTAATTTCCATATAAGTTTTAAATATTGTCGCTCAAATTATGGAATCAAAGTAGCATTTTTAAATAACATTCTATACAAACTTGTAACGGTTAAAGACCGGATTTCTAGCGTGTAAAGCCTCAAAAATGTCTTGATATGATTGGTATGATTGATAATGATAGATGAATATGATATCAGATCATATTTAGTTTATGAAACAAACATTTGTTTTATCAACAACTATAATTTAAATAAATTGGAATATTCTTAATGGGATTTTTTGCATTCCCCTCTAATGATATTTAGGATTTCGAGCATGATAATAATTGTGGATGTTCAATATTCCAGTAATTATGAAAATATATTTATCAGAATCTAGCTCATCATATTTAAAACGTGCGGAATTTCTGGTGAAAGAAATTGATCTAAGTAACAAAATCAGTAGACATGCTGCATTCAAACTAATTTGATACCCTCCGTGGTGTAGTACGTTATGAAGATTTTCCTGATATTTGCTCTTATAAATCGAAATATTTTTCGTTAAAAAACGAATTTTGCTTTGCACTATTGCGCGTATTGGTGGCTAAAGTAGAAAAATGCGCATCTCCAGTTGCGATGTTTCAAATCTCTTCTCATGGTCTCTGTATTATTTTTTAATTTTATCTGTGCGAATTAAAACTTGCAGAAAATTTCTAAACATCAATATGCTTGCTCGCGTGTTTTTCAAAGTTAAAAGGACCCCAAAATGGCTAAATGTTCGGACTGATCTCACTGTGCTTTTTTCATCTATAGAATACATTGTAAAAATTATTAAAATCCTGTTCCCGTTCGTAAGATGAGATCGACTTGAGTACGGCTCTTTTTTTGAATCAAAATTGACCCTTTTTCGATTTATTTGATTTAAATTGACTATGAATTACTTCAGTTGACTCTTAAACGACTCTGAATGGTTCTAAATTACTTGCATTGCCCCGTGTAAGTTGAAGCCTAATTTGACTCGACCTAACAATGTGGGCTTCTAATCACTTTGTCAGATTGCATAATCGGTGCTGGTGCTCAATTTTTTTGGGGGATCCAAACTTTAAAAAAAAAACAACTTATCAACAATTTTCAAGCTGGGATCCCTCAAAAAAGCGATTACCACCGGTTGACTTTGCTTATTTTCAATATGGGAACAGAATTTTATTATTTATTCATTTATTTTTTTTTTTGCAGAGTGCAATGACTTAAGCACGATTTGTGATGCACAAAACTTAACACCCCCCCCCCCGGGGGGGGGGGGGGAACACCTAATCTAGGACTCTTTGTCGTGGTTCGACTTTCGTTCGGTCTCTTTACTCTCTATCGAGTCCAACCTTTCTTCTCCATCTTCGTCTAGCCGCTTCTTCTCGGAGCCTGAGATCTCCTCTTTGGTCCTGTCCTTCTTGACGTAGGACTTGAAATCGTTGTACTTATCGGCTACCTTGCGGGGCAGGCCCATGAACTTCTGCTCGATCTCCTTGGCCTTGGTTCGCATGCTCTCGATGAAGTCATCGTAGGCCTGTTTCTTGGCCTCGATGTTGTACTTCTCGCGGAAGAACCGCTCGTAGTCGGCGATCTTGGCCTTGATGCTGCTCAGCGAGTTGCTCACCGTGTTGTCGTAGCGGTGTGAGAATTTGTGCATCGTGTTGTTGTACTTCTCGTGGAGCTTGTGCGCCGTGTTGTTGTACTTCTCGTGGATCTTGTTCCCGACGTTTGCTAGCCGACTGCTCACATTTGCCAACCGACTGCCCACATCCACGAATCGGTTGCTCACATTCGCCAGATGTTCGCCTACTCTGTCATTTATTTTTGAGAACTTCTCCTTAACGTTCGTCATCTGTTCAAATATGAAAAAGATTTTATTATAATACAGTAAAACATAATAACATATAGTAAATAGTCGGACATAAGTTAAGTTGAATTGGACCAGAAGAGTCGGCCTCACAACGGTTTATTCGGTTGTTTTCAATTCGCCTTCAGCTGCGTCTGCAGCAATTGTTGTTACGAATATGTTGTGCGTGCTGATCTCAGCTCATTACATACTTGACTCTCTGAAGGCGTTTCATGTGCGAAAGCAGAGCACCCTGTTGGAGAACAACAGAAAAAAGATTGAACAATGCTCAATCCCTACTTCGCTCGTTCTCCAACAGATTGCGCCACTTGCACACATAAAACGCCTGCAGAGAGTTGCGTATGTAATGAACTAAAATCAGCACGCACAACATATGCGAAACAACAATTGCTGCAGACGCAGCTGAAGGCGAAAAACTGGCTGAACACACTGGCTGAAACAGGCTGAATTTATAAAAAAAAGAGTATGATAGAAAGTCTGCATGTAACGAGAGTGTATGTATTCGATCGACATGAATCGACAAACGTTAACCGATCAACACCGATTCAATGGACAAATAAATGAATAAGTGGTCATCAAAAGCAATAGAGATCCTGCATTTAATATAAAAATTTTAAAATTGCGATATCTCGAAATTAGGATCGGCCAAGATTTTGATTTTTCGCGATTTCAAGTCCACGCGTACTATGGACTCACACTCACCCCCTGCAAATCGTTTTTAAGTACATTTTTGTCGCATTTGTTTTGCCTCAAGACCACTGTGCCCTCTGACTGTGCAAACCTGGTCGGCGGTGACTGAGAAAAACTGCCCACAGACGCGGGAAACTTGAAAATGCGTGTCACTAACGACATTGGTGGATCTAGCAATTTGGCAACACCGGATTTCCTCCATTGAAACCTATGGATATAAATCGATTCTTGGAGTGGCCAGGTGCTCCGACAAGAATCGATTATCTAGCATAGGTTTAAATGGAAGAAATTCGATGTTGCCAAATTGCTGGATCCGCCTCTGACTAACGACGCAGATTGCGCGCTATTATGGAGTTGACGAAAAGATTTTTTCGACATGCCCAATGTGATTTTCATGCGCTTTTGCCTGTTATGACTTATGTGTGTATTTATTCAGATGTATTTCTTGTATTTCTGTATTTCTGTATTTCTGTATTTCTGTATTTCTGTATTTCTGTATTTCTTCCGTAAGCAGACCCATTACCTTTCTCCGCCACCTTCACTTTAAGACTGCTGGCTCAGTGCTTTGGCGCTCACCTTATTATCAATTTTCTCCAGATTGCGATGGTACGTGCGCTCGTACTTGGCGAGCTTGGCTTTGAAGATCTGGACTGTCCTATCGTAGAATTTGACGGCTTTGGCAGCTTTCTTCTTCCAGCTGAGCTGTAGCGGCCCCAGGGTGGCGTGTGGTCCGTTTTGCTCTTCGGCGTCATCGTATTCTACGTCCACATCCTCTGACTCCCTCGCTTCCAACGCCGGGTCCACCAGCTCTTCTTTCGAGTGTCGCACCTCTGCCGACAACTTGTTGATCAGGAACGCTTGGACCAGTTTCGAGGAACGCACCTAAATCGTACAGTAGAATTATTAGAATTATATGCATTTTTTAGGGTTTCGCACATAGGCAGATTAAATGGGGGGTGGGGGTGTAGGGGGCACTCCGTTTGCCCGGAAAAAAGGAGGAAGAAAAAGAGAAAGAAAAAAGTAAGAGGCAACGGAGGAAAGACGCGTGTATTTAGTATTCATGACGGATTTGATTCAAACTACACGTCAGATACTTCAAAAATTCAACAATTTTCTGCGAGAAGCTCCCGGACCCCTTTACGCCTTCCTGTTTGAGGTGTCTGGATTCGCCTATGTGGCGGAAGGGATGTCAGAGGGTCTCTATCCAGCAAATTTTCAAAATATTAAAGTATTTTATATGCATTTTGATTCGATTTTACCATAAATAACTGGCGAATAAAAGCGTCCTTCCTTCTTGTTTCCTCTGTTTCTTTCTTCTTCCTTTCTTCCCTCCTTCTTCCTCTCTTTTTGGGCAAACGGGGGGGGGGGGGGGGGGTGTACGCCCCTTACGCCCCCACTTGGATCCGCCTATAGTTTTGCACTACATGCATAAGAATTTCCATTGTGAAACACATTTTGATATCATTATTCAATTCATTAAGGCAAATGTAGACCCCTTCATCGGCTTCTCAGCGGTAGTTAGGAAATTCTACTTTCGGAACTTCATCACTCGACCTTCATCATTTTTGATTGTAAGGAACATGTTATAACCGTCATAGCCAAGTTGTGCAGAGCTAAAAATGATTAAACTCGGTTAAAATGTGGATTCTTACAATGAACCAATCTAAAATACGATGTGCTGTACCTACTCTCAAAAAGCTGCAGCTAATCAGAATTTTTGTTTTGCTAAATTTCTGGAGAATTGTATAATTAAAAGAAAAATTTTTTCGTTGAAGTTACCTCTTCAGGAAAGTTGGCCGAGATGTCCCCCAACTCAACGCTAGAATTGTGTCTCGCAGAAATAAGCGAGTCAATGAGATTCGTCACGTTGAAACTACTGGCTCCTTCGGTCTTGGAGAAGGTTTCATAGAATGACTCGTACGGGGTGAAGTCAAAAGCGGTGACCTTTTGCACGTCGCTAAGAACTCTGTCCATAATCAGTTTTCTTATGTCAGTCGCCCAGAGGAAGTCCAAGTGATTGAATTGAGGATATTCGACTTGATGGCTGTTTATTACATTCGGCAATCGCTTTTGCAGCTCTGTAACGTCCTGTTGCAAAAAAAGCAAAAAAACATTGAATATAACCTTCACCTAACTTAACTTGAATTAACTATTAACTATGGGAGAAGTGACGTATAATTAACGCAAATATCCGCTCCTGAAAAAAATTGATAAATGGTACGGGTTTAACTGCCGGGAAATCGCAAATTTGGTTCAAATTAAAAAAATTTTCAAGCTGTATGAAGCTGTATGAAAATTAGAACATTTAACTAGCTAAAGTTCTTCTTCTCGGGTGCTATCATGGATTTTATGTTAGCACTACAAGAGGTAATGGATTTCGTTGAAATAATCAGCTCAAGTGTACTTGGTGAATGGAGCAGAAAATCAAAATAAGATGAAATGAGGGGCTTGGAGGACAAGACGCATTAGTGCAGTTTTTGCTATTTCGAGAAATACGCATTTGAAGTTTCAAAATTCTATGGACCCTTATGGCGGAAAGAAATTCAAAACTAATTTTTTGATTCTTAAAAATTGGATTTTAGGAGCGAACTTCTCACACAATATGCATTAAGACTAGTTTTAGTTAAAATCAATAACATCTCATTTTTTTCAAAAACTGCACCTATATGCACCTTGTTCTTCAAGCCCCTCAAATATTGAAAAATTGCATGTACATATATCAAAAGCCTAAGTATCCTTGAAAAGTAAATTGTCCTTTCAATCATCTTTATAACATATTTATGTGAGACTAATTGCTTTACCTGCTCGTTGGCCATGAGATCGTTTAAGCTATGATAGAGAGACACCGGTGTTGTAATTTTACTCAGATCATAATCTACGGGTTCTTTAGTTCCATACTTAACCAGATTCTCCTCGGGTCCGTAATCAAACGGCCGGAATTTGGCTGTAATGAACAAACAAAGGAATTGATGATAATGAAAGTGGATATATTTGAATAAGAAGTATAGATTAGATAGGCAGGAAGCTCAAATGCACTACAGCACCACAAAAATTAAATTTTTGTCAAATTAATGACACTTGCATGAATCAATAACATGAGTCACTTGCATGAGTGAGAGTTATTCTTTCCGGTTACATTTCAAGAGCCGGCAGCTCTCGAAATGCTTCCGGAAGGGATACTCTTGATTAATAAAAAGTAGATGTTTTAAAGTTTTAACTTTTTGAATTTTCACATTCGATTAGATTAATGCGGAAAATGCAGTTTAAACTTAACAAGATCGAGCCGTAGAGAAAACACAATTTTGGGACATGAAAATCGCAGTCCCAATGCATAATCAACGAGCAATAGTCACTTTTTCGCAAATTTATATAGCTTTCAAAGTTTGGCGGGGAAAAACAAGTAGGTATTCAAACGTGGTTTAAAACATTTTGGTAAAATTCCATTCACACCTAAGTGAAGCGAGCGGCATTTTAAGATGTTTAAAACGCCTTCAATTTTAGAAGAAGCAACATATTATACTTTTCATCAGCTTACAGAATCAATGTCAGGGTGGCGATTGAATGCCGCCATCATCCGATACAACACTATTTAATCCCATAAGCCAGTTTAGAGTGTTTATTCTCTTTACAATATCAATGTTACGAATAGAGGCCTTCTACGTTTGCAACTATAGTGACTAACAAGAGTGCACTTCTTTTTTACATCGTTGAGGTAGTTTCTTTTGCTAATAAGTCTAACCGAGTTTATACAGAAAATTAGTCTACAAGAACTTCGAGGCCGAAATATGTAAAATAAGTGCAGCTGCATTATTTTATTCTAAAAACATTTTGAATTATGCCGGAATCGCATGCTGAATTTGGCAGCTGAATATGGAATTCAACAGTCATCGCTCAACGGCTGAAATTTTGCAAATTCAAGTAATTTTCATCCAGATTTGTGTCGAATCTATTCAAATAGTTCAGACGGATCCGACATTATACCCGATGGTGGCTGAGCTTCGTTGCCGAATTTTGCGAGACACGCGCAAAATTCAGGCATCGGGCCGATGACTCCCACATTCAACTCACATTCAAGCCACATTCAAGCCACATTCAAGCCACATTCAAGCCGCATTCAGCTCCCACATTCAGCGTGTGATTCCGGCAATAGATTACTAAAATGATTCAGGAGGTCATGAAAAAAACTCATCAAAATTACCTGAAGCTATTTCCTGGGCATAATGAACCAAAGTTTTTGTTGAAGCACCTGCTGGCGTGTGACCTAAAATGACTGGCAGTAATGTCTGTAATCATAAAGTTGTAAAAAATTACTGTGACTTTGCTTGAATTAGTGGATTTATTGAGTTGCAAAAATACTGGAGAAATTCATAGTACATCGAGTTTATTGATTTGACGCAAAATTTTCCTTGAAATTATCTGGTACACAAGAAAAACAATTTTCACCGCAGTCAATCGATCTATTCCTAGGGTTGAATTAAAATCGGCCATTGGAAATTGCCCAAAATAAAGGAAACTACACTCTTCAAATTCACCGATAAACACTGAAAATTAACACTAAGCGTTTTAGTATAATTTATAAATTTATCGATTTATTTTTCATGGATGAAAATATAGTGAAACTCAAAAGTACTTTTATAAGACCTTCAGATCTACACATGTTCTCTCTCTACGACGAAGAACAGCGTGACCCGCTACACTGTTGTGCTAAAAATATGACGTATGAAAATGAGAACTGTCAAATTTTCTCAACTAAAATGTTCCTTTTCAAGGAGGGTTATAAATATTATCTTTTGATATTTTTAAGTAAATTAGATTTGATCGCGAATCAAGTTCTCTTAAGAATTGGAGGAAAAAATCACAGATGTAATTCCCTGAAAATTGTATTTTAGCAAAGGAAATTTTGCATCGTCTGACGGCCCATGCGGTGTTAATCCTCAGCACGGCAATGCAGCCAATATATAACCTATCCCTACACGCGCCCATCCAATGTATTTCGTAATTGATGAGCATTTCAGTTTGGAGAGTTTGTCATATATTTCTTGATGACGCAATTGCCTGATGACGGGATTAGTATTTGAGCATGTCTTGAGGTAGGTTCGGAACATTTTAAGGCGAGAATGTCAGACACAGCGGAGTCAGTATCTCAATTGTGCACTTAAAGGTGCAAGTACTAGTATTGAAAATTGAGAAATGATTCCGACCGTTATCAACATTTGAAGGCGTGATGTTAAGTGCCTGATATACGACCGAGAAAAGGTGGAAAAGTAGAAAGCTAATAAACACTCGATATCTTCCATTGCCTTATAAACAATCACTTAACTTTCAACTTAATATTCATGATAGTTCATTGCTTTTCCTGCATTTTTTCTTTTTCTTTTTTATTTTTTTGAGAATTACGCCTCTCAGTTGATGCTGCAGGACTGCCAAAAATATGTTCATTTTTACAATTTAATTAAGAAAAAAGAATGTGTTAATTCTTATAAAAAAAATGTACAAGCTGTTGCTTTCATTTTTGAATACTTCATACATTTGACAGTGCGATTGGAATGGAAGATGTGCTATAATTGCTTCAGAGTAGGTCGAAGTTTATAGATGAAACTTACCCTGTTGAATTGGTCCCTATCAAATCCTGTCAGAACGAAGATGTACTGCTCACAGATGATCTCCTCCAGCATGTAAAATTCGCACATGTATTTGAAAACTTTTTTCATGAAGCTGGTGTGCCCGAGAAATTCACCGGTGCCAATCCACTCGATCATTTTCTGGGGACGAAGTAGAAAAATTATTATAAAAGCTGTAGGGGGATTAAAATTACATTTTAATAAACCAAAGAAAAATATACTTAAAGGTTTGATATTTTGGAACTTGCAGTATCCTATCATTTGTCTCTTCATGACAGCAATTCCAACTTCGACTCGATATGACTCTTGATGTAAACATTTCCCCAAAACATGGCTGCTGGTATCTCATTGAATGTACAATCTAAAAACTGGTTTTTGTTTTACTGGAGTCATTGCGCATTTTCGAACATGGCAAATTTTAAATTTCTTTAGGGGGTCATACTTCTGTGCTAAGAAAACTCGCCGCATGAACATTCGAGAGCAGCGAAATTGCCTCCAATGAAATGTTTATTTTTGAGGAGAGTTATGAATATTTTCTCTTGAAATTTTCAGATAATTTAGATCTAATTTCGAGGAAAATTTTCTGAAAAATTAAACAGGATTTATTCACAATCTTTCTTGATATTTAAATGAAGAAAATTTGCCTACTGACAAAGGTTCTTGCGGCGTTTTTCCGTAGCATGGCAGAATGGGAGATGGGACAATGTCGACCTCCTTCAATGATGAGTGACTTTGAATTTCATGTTCTTATCTGACTGTATATAAAATCATAAAATTAACGCAAAACGCGCAAAGCGCGCTTCAGGGGGCTGACCGCGAAGCGGTCAGGGGGTGAAGCTCCTTGATAAGGTAAATTCTTTGTGATGATAAGAACTGTAAAATTACCATGTAATCATCTGCAAAGGGTGCCAAGTAGCGGACTGGTGTTTTTGCTCTGGACATGAAAGCGACGGGTGCCAAACTGAATTGGGCCCTGATTTTCTCGTTGTACTCGGGCTTGGTGGAAGCCATCACGAAGAACATTGTAGTTCCCATTGAGTGGCCCATGTAAAGGAGATCACGATGTCCTGTCGTCATCAAAATGAAATCGATGACAGCTGGAAGATCGTATTCTCCCATTTCGTGAAAACTACGACAAAAATACAAAACACCCTGTAGAAAATATCAGAAATGAAACACAAATCATAGACATAGGGGCAGTTCAAGTATTATTTAACACACTTTTTCGGCGTTTTCGACTCCCTCTTCCCCCTTGCAACGCAACCTTAACACAGCCGTACTCCCACCTTTTGAACTACGCAATGCTGGCTTTCTTTCATTTCGACGATTCTAAAATTTTTCTTTGCTTGCAACTTAATTTTGGTTGGTTACGCGTACCAATGTCGGGTAATGATTTTGAGGGTTTAGCTCTATTTTTTGCGGAAGAGGAGGGTAGGGGTGTCGGCTAATCCGTTGAAAAACTAAAAAGCCGTAAAAGCTAGCTGGGTTTGTGAGATACTCAGTGGCGATTCTTGAAAGTTGGTAACACCGTTTTTCCTCTTTTTAAATCCATTAAAAATATCGATATTGGGCGAGGCAAGCTGCCTCGACACCAAGAATCGATTGTTTCGCATTTATGTAAACGGTGAAAAGACAGCTTTGCCAACTTTCAGAATCATCACTGGGGATACTTTGAACAACAGCATCACAAGAATTGATGTAATCCATCCGTGCGAACTAATTATTAACTGGCACGCCTTTCTTATACTCGATGACGTTAATGCAATGTTGGCGGATCAAAATATGTCACTCATTTTTCAGGATGAGTAGCTCAGCCCAAATAGTTTGGGCAAGATGCTGAGTGCTCGTGTCGCACTTTTTCAACTTCTGAGTAGAAACATCAAAATAGATTTTCATCGAATGGAAAATTATACTTTCCTCAGCACGATCGCTCAGAGTCGTCGAGGCGTACCATCACACCTGCATCTTTTCATAAAATGGTCTCTAACCAGAAAAGAGCATAATAGTACAACTATCTAACTGTAGAATTTGAAATGGAACATTAGATTTTACCTGAAATTCCAGAAATCATTGCTTTTGGGGTCAAGCTTAACGTGATGCTTCGAGTATGTGTTCCCCCTGCAGTTGCCAAGCCACACGTCATAACCAAGGTCTGCTAGAATGTATGCTGTCAACAAGATAACATAATAATGCTAATTTAGACATTTTCCCAGGGGATGAAAATGATCTAATCCTAAGTTTAAAGCGTCCGTCACGGTTTTTGGCGTGGTCAAACTGACTTGCACTACCGCATCAATTATGTTAAAAATCTCGGCCGATTTTTAACGTAATTGATACGGCATATCGCATGCTAGTTCGACCACGATAGAAACCTTGACGAATCACCATAGGTCCTTGAGAATTTTGGCAAATTACCTTTTGTGGGAGTTTAATATTTGGGAACCCCGCCTTCTTTGCCCGGGACCCCCTAAACAAACACTACCCTCGCCTTCGATGACGATCCGGATAAGACCTGGCAATCAGACGTAAATCTCACGGAATGACGATATCTGTGTTGTTTTCGGACGCGTAAAATATTTCATCGTTTGTAATTTAGATTCTGTCTCTGGAAATTTTTTCGATTCATGAAAAATGCAGGAGCATGTCTTCCAAAGCAAAATGCAAAATCGATGAGCAAGCACCGTCTCAGCTTGCACTGTATTGCTGATATCCTAGGAATGTCACGAGTGTTTTTTATTACTTCTTCGTAAAATATGATTTACAACAATCTCAAAGCAACAGTTAAAATTAATTCCCAACTGATAGGAAAAGCATAATGCCGAATGAAACACCTGAAAGTGTCATTTTTCAATAGTCCTGCCGGATTTCGAATTCATTTTCAGGACTCAAAATTAATTTGTTTTCTAAATGTAATTATAATTTGAAGAGTGTAAACGCGGGGTTTTTTTTTTTATTACTTTCTTTTGGCAATGCAAATGAGACGTCTTTTAGGTGTGTATGTGCGTTTGAAAAACACGCTATTTGGAGCTAGAAATACCCCTGAATGATGAGATGACGAGGGCAAATATTTGTTATTAGATTTAATTTTAGTGGGTTTGGTTTTAACATCATCTTTCTTGTATTGCGAACTCATGAAAAGCGGCAAATTCGAAAGGTATTGAGAAACGAGCACTTCATAAAATAGAAAAAGTAAGAGTACGTGTCAAGTAGGTACTCAAGAATTGCTAGAGATTTTTATTTTATTTTAGTTTTTAACAGGTTCATTTTGCGTTCAAAAATTTCTTTTATAAATCAGAGGCTTTTAATTTCAGCGAGATCATTTTAAAATTAAAATGATGAGACTTTGTATTTTCTTGGAAAAAATTACAATATGGTATCATTATCATTAAATGAGTTTTGTATAACCTCCCAATAGGCGCAGTGTAGAGGCGCTTCGGGTGAAAATAACAAGCTTATCTCGAGTGTGAGAGAAACGTGTGTGTACACTTCGGTCAGTGTTTTGACTTTTCTTTTCCAACGAGAGGTGGAAGACAATTGAGGAGCTTGGAGTGAGCACATAAGTGCAGTTTTTGCTGTTTCAAAAAATACTTGTTTAAAGTTTCAAAATTACATGGAGCCTTATGGCTGAAAGGAAGTTTAAACTCACTTTTTGATGCTTTAAAGTAGGATTTCAGTTGTGCATTTCTCACAGAATATACTTTCAAACTAGTCACGGTTAAGTTCATGAATATATCAATTTTTTTAAAAAAAACTGCACTCATGCGTCTTGTCTTCCAAGCCCCTCGATTCAAAGTTCAGCTCACCATACGACTTTTCAGGTCCGTTGATAATGAAATCAGAGGAGCTCCCCAAGAGACCGTGTTGCAGGAGGATGGGCGGTTTTTCAGGATCCCTGAAGCGGGTCTTCCCATGAGGAATTCGATGCACCTCCAGGAGGTACCCATCTTCTGTTTTCACGATGTGTTTTTCTGCAGGATACCCATGCCGCAAGATGATTCTCGGCTGCAAAAAACAAAAGCAAAGAACAAATAATTAATGATAGACAAACAACCAAAGAATTCGTCTTAATCATTTCAAGTATTTTTCTTTTCGTCCTATGCGTCATCCACAAATGGTGTCAAGGTCCTGGGGAGAGAAGGGCTGAGGAGTGCATCAAATGCTGCAAGTGATCTAATATCATAGATAACTTCAAAGGCTACACAATTAAGGCGTTGATTGCAGAAAGGGCATATCTTGGTTGTGGTGTTTCAGAATTTCCACTGCTAATTTATATTACAGAGAGGAAACTATTGAGAAAGTTTCATCAAATTTTTCGTTTTCAGCATTGTAAAATCATAGAGAAAATTCAGTAAAAGCTTCAATAACTTCCATAAATTTACTTCCGTCATAATGGGTGCGACGTTAGCGGAGATTCTGAGACACCGAAACCAAGAAACGCTCTTTCTGCACTCAGCGATTCAATTATTACGCATACGTCCAGATGTGCAAATTGCCTTTACTGCGCCTGCCGCAGTGTTCACTTCCACCCACGACCCTTAGATCGGGCGATAGAGCACTTTCTGCATACTTGGAAGGGTCGCCTTAAAACTAATCTAATTTTTAAAGGGGAATTTTTAAGAAAATTCCGATACATCCGTGTCGAGATCGAATATTATTAGTATCATATGGTAGGAGAAGTGATCCAAATTTGTCGTTATTTTTAAGAGGGGCTCACCACTTCTTGCTATGTATATGCACCTGACATGGGAATTAGTAGATTGAAGAAAAACCGAAAGGTTTCCTATGGACAACTCCTCAGTAGAGTGAGCATCTATGGAAAATCCCTCTTGCTTATAACTGCTGTTTAACATGCCGATTGATAAATTCAAATGCCCATGCACGAGAACAAGGTTTTTCATTTAATACATGAAAACGCTGTGTTTCTAAAAGCAACCTGGTTTTATAAATTGAACAGATGCAAGTTTAGATGAGGTCTGATTTGTCCTTGTTGTAAATGCGCTTGTAAGCCAGATCAAGTCAATTTGTTACTTACATAAACGCGCTTGAATAACGGTGAAAAATATTCGTTCACTTTTTAGGAGGAAAATTACTTTTTTAATCCACCGAGAGACGACTTTTTTGCCGTCTCTCCTCTGCAGTTAAAAAAAGCAACCGTAAGAAAAAGAGAAAAATTAAAACGGTAGATATAATACAGACTGTATGTGAATAATTTGGAGACTTCAGACGCCGACGCGACACCGACTTCTGTGACCTGACTGCCGCGTGAATGGATTTTTTTGGAACTAAAAATAGTATTTTTAAGTGACAGGTAATTGGTTTAATGAAATTCATCTCTAGTGTTTCTGAAGATGAGAGGCTAATTTACAGTGCCGGGTGCAAAATACTTTATTATCATTCTGCGTGTACTAAAACTTCCATAGATTCGCATATTTCTTATCACGAGCCTGATTGGACAAATATTTATTGAACATCTTAAAATTTCGGCATACGGTACAAGTTTCCTGCGTTATTTCGTCAATAAACGTCACGCTTATTCGCAAATAAACGGAAACAATTCCTAAGTTAAATAACAGATGAAAAATGACCGGGTAAAGATTGCCACCGATGTAGAAATTATCTACTGATAATAATTGTGCGTACGAATGATAATTTCAACACCATTCTTCACTTGTGAAACGGCACTCTTTACTTTTTTCATCAAAAGGCTGCTGTTTTGAACAGTAGGAATTGAGTCCCTGTTTCTTCCGATAATTGTAATTTGCTGTATAATTTGCTAATTGATAATAGCTCCTTTTCCATTTTTTTTTTTTTTTTTTTTTTTTTAAATGGGTACCTACTTTACAATCTCTGACTCAGTAACGACTGTGACCCATATGCCTTTAATACGGCAGTTAAATTTTAACAATCATAGTATTGTCAGTTTCACTGAATGATGCGTGAATTGAGCGTATTTCTGCCGGACGGAACCAGAGACAGGTGGGAAAGAAGATGTGTGCTCGTTAGTCGTGGGCCGTAAGAATGAATGGGAATTATAAAGCGCCAGTGACGTCAGTGGCAGCAAAACCTTGCGTCCCCGTTGTCGCTCTTAATCGGCATTAACTCATGAGCCCTGTCCACAACGCTCATTCCCATGCCCACGGTTTATGTGCGCTACAATTCGTGTAGTTCCGTTTGACGGAATTTGAAATCCCGCTATGCCATTCCTCCAAAAGGAATCACACCTGCTTTTGCATTGTTTCTTACAACTTATACATATAGCTCATAAAGCTTATATAAAGCTCATACAGATTTCTAAAGCATACCTCATCTTTCCCACTCGTCTAAAGTTCCGTTCAGCAGAAATATACGTCCAATAATTGGTAAAGGAGCTCATATTAAATAGGTCTGCGGTGGAAGAAATCGCTCAAATGAATAGTATAAATAGCTAATAACGGCAGGCAATAAATGGGTGTAAATTAATAGAGCACTTTAAATCATGTGTCTTGACCAAACAGATTATTAGTTCCATCACGATTAGAGTTTTCTACTAAAAGTTTTAAGTTTTTATAGATGAACGACGATGATTCATTCCATACAAAGTCTATAAAATCAAACTATTCTTATGATTATTTGTATGCAGTCAAGTCAGAGGGGTCAAGCACCCTTCATCACTGACCTTACCCTTTGAGCGCAGATAATCTATACCTCCGCTCGAAATTCAAGCAGACAATAAATCTGGGACTGACGCATAAGGCCTATCTTTCATCGCCTAACAAACTTTTTGATTCATCTGACTCATGTTTTGTTTTTTCCGCTTCCTTTTTTTCTTATTTCTTTCTCAAAGGTATAGATATGGCGGTGGTGTTCAAAACCAAGATATAAGATTAGGATGTATGAATGATAGATTGATTACTTGAACGAGACTGCGGAATACCATTGCAATGAATTCGATACCGAAGACACCTAAAATTTAGCAATAAAATATAAACCAGTTTGAAGTATAAAACCACCTCTTTGAATTATATTTTAAATTTTTGACCGCGAGAACTGAATAACACCGATTTTTCTATGCCACATTGAGGAAAATAACTATAATAACAAACATACTCTGGACAACAGATTCTGGCGCAGGTTTTAACGCAGCGAACCCAATGAAATCCACTGAGGGAAACTCAAATAGATTTTCGGTAGAGGTTAGCCGGCATCTCGAGAGAAGTTGTTCGATATAGGGCTGCGTGGGAGTCACAGTGCATCATAGTGCACTGCAGCAGCAGGAGCGACTTGTATGCATATGCGCTCCAATTTTTGGTATAGTTTTGGCATAATATTGTTCCTCCGAAGGCTGAAGTAAAATTTAAAAATATAACAAAATAGGTTCAATCCAATTTTTAAATGCCCTCGGCGCTCTTTTATGGCAGCTAGGGCAGTGTATTTTGTGGTATCTTCTTGCTTGACGCAGTTCAAGTACAGTTATAGCTATGTAAGGTAATCCTGTAAAATTCCAGGCAAATATGCACTGCCTGGCACAAAATTTCATCGGACTACAAAATGAAGGTTGTCACCTACTTTGGTGTCGATAAGATAGTTTAAGCATGGTTGATCAAGAAATTTTATTTGCGTTGTTTGAGAACACGAAAACAGTGGTGCTACGCTCAATTTTACGCTTGGATGATTAGAAGATGTTAATAAAATTACTTACTTCAAAAATTAAAGATTCATACGCAAATAGCTTTTGTTAGCTAGGTCATTTGCTACACTTAGATGGCGGCGTATAATTATATAGGAGGACGCAATTTGTTACCCTCTTCCCTTTTACAATCTACTAGTGACGCAAGTTAGACCCTTTCAGTGTGGTGAAACGTTGGATGGATTTTTTTTCTTTGATTACTAATTTTCTAAGAGCTTTTGACTAAGTGACCGAATGATATATTTTTTCAAAAAAAGAAATTCTGTTATATTTTTTACCTAAATAGTGATACACAGCGAGGAATCAGTCTTTGCCGCCTCTCGCAATGCATTGTAACGTCCATATCCTTCGTCTTCACGTTTCGTCATACGTTTTTGAACGTTTCTACTAAAAAATGTGGTCGATGACAACAAATAAACATGTGAATGAATCTCAAGATATTTAAATGAAGAATCGCAGGAAGAATAATGCTCTTGTTTCTACAAGAAATTTATAGAAAAAGAGTTTTTCGACAAGCATGCGGGGACGGAATGATTCGACCAAGCAAAACATGATTAGATAATTTTGATAAAAATCAAATGAATGTGAAAAGGGCAGGTATGCATCATTGCATCATACTTCCTTATCATTGTCATGAAAACGGCTGGTTCGAGTATTGAAGCTACTATTAAACCTTGACCAAGTTGCTCAAAAATAATTTTTTTCTTGAAATATACGTGACAAGGCATTTTTGGGCCCCCCAAAAAATTGGAGTTTCCTCGATGAGAAATTATTAGAACCTCGAGTTTTTAACCATACCATCTCTCGTGAGAAATGACTTGAAAATCACGAGGAGCACATCAGGAACATCTGAATTGCACTTCCAATTTTATAATCTTGCATACGTATTTTTGAAATTTCTGCTTCAAAAAGTTTGTGCCAACCCGGTTTTCCGGTTCTCCACGCAAAACTTAGAATGGCCGATGCCACGTGTCGCAGTTTCCCAATTAAAAACAAATACATTAGAAGTCATTTACCCGCCAAGTCCCTCTCCTGCTCCCCGCGTTAAGTTCAATAAATAGAAGTACTTCTGTTGTTTTCTTGTATTCGAGGAATCGTGGACAGACCCAGACTATTTATTTGTTTCTATGTCAATAAACTCAGAGTTCTAGGATGTAAGTGCTCCCTCAGAGTGTTACCTAATCACTCTCTTTTCCAAGGTGTCTAGTCTTCTAAGATTGAAGTGGCACGTTTCATATTTAGTAATAAGGAATCCTGGGCGAAAAATAGATAGGAAACGTCGTCTGATGAAATTGTGAGAATTTTTAGAGCATTTCTAACGGAAACAAAAAAATTCCCAGTTCTTATATCTATGAAGAGACGAAGAGAGCATGTCGGGCACTTTGTAATAATTTCGAGGAACTTAAATCTTGTTAGCAGAAGTACTCCAACCTACTTCTGACACCGTTCTCATTCGAAACCTTCGATAGTAAAATGCGCACATCGACCCGCGAGTCTACAAGTGTCTACATTTCGCAGAAAAACTACACAGTAATGTTTCCCACTTGAGGTGTCAGGCTTTTGTTATTGAGTACCGGCACTTGAAATATATCCACGTCGAAGTGGTGGGATCATGGAAGGGATTACAAGATTTACAACATGCATGTTGTGGAGGCGATTTTAATGGGACTCTATTAAAATTAATGTGATTTTGCTGCACAACATGGCAACTTCATTCCTTGCTACTTGTCGGCAGCGTCTATTTTTTTATAATATACTTCCTTTGAGAACTTTATAATCTCGAGCCGATCAAAGCAATCAATCAGAACCACTCAGGGGACAATGACCAGAGAGGCCACTGCAGTTTCCTTTTGAGTCGTGGCACTTGATGCAGGATGCTACTGGCCACTCGATAGGAGAAAATTACCGAGAAGATAAATGCTTTCACTTTTGTAGTGGTTTGTTTATTTTTTTATAGCATAATCCAATAATTGAAGGGGTCTATTCGGTTTTTGCAGTCACCGAATCGTTGATACCCTTGCCAAACTCGAGGAAGTCGTATTCTGGTGAATATGGTTTCTATTTTTACAGCAACGTTTCTCAAAATGTTGGTAAAGCATGATTTATTAAGATGCCCTGCTGTCTGCTGTTCGAATTGATAAACGGCAGGAGAATATTTGATGGGTCGAATTCAAAATACGATTTTCCTCTACAAAGTTTTTTCTTAAAGTTCCGCCGGTTGGAGCTACGGTCCCCTTTTCGGTGACGGTTCCAGGCCAAAACTTATATAAGGTAGCTGTCTTCTATACTTTAGTCATTTATCGCTAAATTCTGTCATTGCTTCAAAAAGAATGTGAGAATCTCAAATTGAGGGGGTGGGGGATTAGGAGGTTCCTAAGGGTCGTGCTGAATCTTAGAGAAAAATTTGATTTTTCCGAAAGTTTGGGGAAAGTTTAATCGCGACCAGGGGCACTTTTCGAAAAAAAGGAAGAAACTCTGTATAATAACTCATTTTTACTCATAAAATATGCTCCTGCAGGCTGGCCGTTTACCTTTGGTATGATCTAGAAAATACTATCCTCTGTCGACCCCATTCTTTTTTCAGGAAAATAACGCGAATTGAATTAATAATTAACTAAAAATCAAAATGGTAGTCAAGGAACTTAAAAACTCCAGATAAATTTGCGCTACCCTAGCTTGTATAACTTGCTCTTGTCACATTTAGGTTTTAGTTATTCACCTGTTTTGGAATGCCGGTCAACTCTGAGATAGCCTGTATGCTTTTCAGTTATTGATCTACTTCATATTGATTTGATTTTTCAGAAGTGGCCGAAATAAAGCTCATAGTTCGTCGATTTCCTCACGAAAGAATGTAGCTACATCTGAGTTTTGTATTTGCCCTCTCGAATTTTATTTTAATCAGGAGAATCTATGATATTTCTATCTGAAAATTGCATTTTTTTTGTTCCTCTGATCTCATGCAAGAACTCAAGAAGAAGAAAAAATTTGGAAAAGAATTGAGGAGGTATATTGATGCAAAATATTTATTTTTTTAAAGTCAATTTTGCAATTTTGGATTCGAGGCACGTTCCTTCGTCCGGAAAACGACAAATTAGAGTGATAAATCAAAATGGTGTTCACAAAACCAATTACCCTAGATTAACTCAGACTACCCTGGCCCGCTTTTGCCTAGCTAAATCATATTTAGGTTTGTTTTTAAAACAAGGGGGTAAAATAATGCTCGGTCCACACTTTTTCCCGACGAACGCAATGCCGAAAAGTTCAACAATTTTAAAATTGTCAAAAATTTGAGCTTTAAAGAGCGTTGAGTAAAAAATTTGAGCTCTAATATCCCAATGCACCTACCTGAGATGAGCATGAATACTCTCCCCTCAGTCTTGCTTTGAGACTCATCAGAGCTGAAATTTTTGACTCTTATTGAAATTATTATTTAACTTTTTGGCCATGCTTCCCCCGCAAAAAAGTGTGGACATACTACTATTTTACCACCTTTCATACAGTTTGGGCCACATTTTTTTAAAACTTGTATCTATTTTTTTTTTTATCTTTTTAATTTTTTTATTTTAAATTCAGAGGGTCTTACCGTGGGCAAATCCGCATCGGGGTCGTAGGGGAGGCAAAACCTCGGGTCATCGATGGCGTAGGGGCCGGCGGCCCCCGGGGTCGACTCCGTGGGGGCATATGCACTTGCAGCACTCACACTACTCGCGAACACGCTCGCGGCTGCGTCGAGCAGAACGACGACTGTCGCGCAGAAGAGCATCATTTTGAACTGGCTCCCGAGACAGCGTCGCTCATCGTTCTCGCATCCCTCCCGGCCCCCCTCTCCCCCTAACCCCCAACCCCCCACAACTCATCCCGCCTCCCAGACCTAATCAGTCTCACTGACAACAACTTTTCTCGCCTTTGATCGGGCATCTCTCCCCCCTTTTCGTCCCGCGTCCGGCGAATTGGCGTAATATCAGAGGCGACAGGATGTTTGGATTCTGTGATTTCATTGATTGCCAGTCAATCAAAGTGGCGTCGAATGTTGCAGTAACTCAATTAATGAGGGACAAGGTCAGAATGGAGTTGGTGAGTTCAGAAAATAATGACCCCACTACGAAATTCTCAAAATTCGTTTGATTTTAGGATTTTTTTATTAGGTATTTACAATACAATGATACAATAAGATGATCAGACTTGAAAACTAGTCTTTATACATCTGATCGTATTATCGTGAAGTTTGGAGAAAGGCAATTTTGTGAGAAGGATCGGAATAATTTGCAAAATAAACAAGTTGGTATTTGCAATCGCTAGCGATAGCAATATTCGTCATGGGAACTTTTCCTTCTGGGATATGAAAATTTTAAGGTACAGTTCGTTTGTAGTATCTTCAGAATTGAAGGGGCTATGTAATTTTGTGTCGACATCTCTTTTTTAACATTTTCAATTTTTTTTCTTTGCATACAAGAAAGCTGTTATTGTATGTATGTATGAGCCGCTTTTACGGCGCGCTAGGGCGCTCTGCGACGCCTATTCTCCACAGGAATCTGTCATGGTAGAGATCCTCCGGAAGCTGGCATCTCTCCATCTCTTCATGGATGCCCTCTACCCACCGTTTGGCTGGACGCCCTCTCCGTCGCCTACCTGGGGGGACCCACTCCAACACCTTCTTCGGCAACCTGGTATCAGCCATTCTCTGCACATGCCCATACCATACCAATTGCTT